CCGAGATCCTTGGGATGTCACTATGCGCAATTTGACGGGGTGCGCCGAGAAAATGGGTACGCAGTAACCCGATACACGTGGGTACTCTTTGGTCGTATTATATCCACCGGTCGGTTCGCGAACTCAAATCTGCGATGGGAGGACGTACGTTCAAGACCTCCGAAATCGCACGCACAAATGACGCAGCGATTCGTGTACACAATATAATTCAATATGTACGACATGCACAAACACGCTACGTCAAAAGACGCCTATGGTTGTTTACATTATATACAGATATTCGAGTAATAAGATCGTCGTACGTTCCTAAAAAGGATATTTTTTCCGTAATTTTTCCCACTGGCCATTCACCTGAGCTCGTTAGACCTGTTCTTCACCCCCAGCCCACGCCACACACGCACACATGTCTCTCTCAATCGCCGTTTCATGTCGTGCCGTCACCGTCATCCCGACTCACTCGTTCCCTATTATATTATTATTTTTACTGCGATTCCTGTTTCCATTGTACACGCCACCGCCGCCGCCGCCTCGACGAGGCCCGGGAGAAGGTACTCGAAATCGTCGACGGAGAGCGGGGTTACCCGGGTCCGGTTCTCTTTGTTTTCAACGCATTTTTCATTCAGTTCGTCGCAAAAAAAAAAAATACAACCAACGACAACAACAACACAACTACGACAACAACAACAACAACAACGACAAAACGAAAACGCAACGCACGACGACAACCCGATGCCGCCGCGCCGCACGCAACAACAATGGCCCATACAATCAACCTGTCATAACCGCGCCCGGCGACGGAAACAATAACAATAATATTAAATAATATAAAAACCGTAAACGGGAAAAAAAACATTACCAGAAATAAATAAAAAGAAATTATACGAAAAAAAATGCATCCGAGTCTCCGACACCGCCATCGCCCGGGACGGAGGATAATATGCTGTCGTCAACGGATTCAGATATTATCGTTTTTTACGGTATTTAAAAACTCGTTTTAATGCCTAAATAATATTCCACAAGAGTCGTATCTCGTTCGCGCGTGAAACACTAAGTCTAGCCGACAAACGCAATTTATGATAATAATAATAACGTTATAAAATCATTGCCGCCATTGTGATTTGTGACCGACCAGTGACCACTAATGCTACTTAAATATCAGCGGTACCGACGTAAACTTCTACGAGGCGACGAAAACCGATATTTTACACCTCTTCCCGCCGCCGGTACACGCCAGGTGGGTCGGAGTATTATCCTCCGTTTATCCGCACCAACGAAGATCCGTACACGCGATCGTCCACTCGTTGTAATCACTTTTTGTTTTGGCGGCAACTCTTCTACCGCCCCGCAAACCACGTTACTGCCCAAAAGAAAACGTGCACGCCATGCGACCAACGACGACCACTGTGCGGTCTGTGCGTTTAAATATTTCCATCCGATATGCAACCTGTTGTACGCACCGCTGTAGTATAACTAGTCATTGTATTATCAACATATACACGCGCGCATATAATCGCGTATTACGGGCAGGTACCAACTACCTACCGCGGCAATATTGTCTGATTTTTCATGAATGGAACGATAAACGTTTTTATGGTTTCCGATTTACAGTAAAAACTAGTTACGACGGCGGCGAGATAATAAAGGCACTTAGGCACAGCAATAACTTGGGCCCACGACGGCGACAAACACCGATAACATACTATTATTAGCATATTTTATAACATGAATAGAAAGAACATAATATAATATAATATTATGATAATTATGTGCTTTAATTTCTAGGAAAAACCGCAATTTATAGTCAAGTTATTTTGTGCGCCGGCGTCGATGTGCGAAGCACAATATGCCGCAGTCAAAATATTTACTACGGAATTCCGTTGGAAAAAATGTGTATATTCGAGAGAACGGATAACGCGGCGTTCGGTGTTCGGTCGGCGGTCATTGTAATAATACTGTGCGTAGGTAGATATTATAGAAAACCTTTTATTCTCACTGTTCTCAGACACCGACGTTACACCGCGTCTGCGATAAAATAACCGACCAGTTCCCACTGGCGGCCGATCAAAAGCACAATATTAACATCGGTCGTCGTCCCGAGTCAGTGGGGCGAACTCTCGCTCCCAAGTCGCTCTCGGTCTCCGCCGTGTAGACGTCAAGTAAATATAATATATATATATATGAAATACAAATACAAATGGGCAATAAAATTTCGAAAAATCGAACCCGACGAACCACCTGTATGCTGCGGCGGTCAATAACGCGACAACAATAAAATATCAGTCTCGTCGTCGTCGTAGTACGCGAGCCGGAAAGATACACGACGGACGGGCGGTCGGGGGACAGCGCTGCACACACACGGACCGATGTTACCCACGATAACGAAAGTCGTAGTCGGAGACGGATGACGTGCGCGCCATTATTGCATGTAGCGAATGTAGGATGCATTTTGTAATAATAATAATAATATGCAATATTACGTTCGTTCCGTCAACCGCTCGCGGTTAGCGGCGTGGTTGGTGGGTGGGTGGGTGTACGAGTCGGACGTGAGTGTGGTTTAGAGCATCGTCGTGTCCTTGGCTATAAAATATAATATAATATTATTAAATATAGACGGCACTCGTCGAACACGAGCGCGTACGAATATCGTCTCGTTCGCGACACATATACATACGCGCGAGCGCGCGCGCGGCACGATATGATTTTGTTTTTCGTTCGTTCGTATGGTTTGTTATTGCGCGCCGCTGCCCTGACGACGACCGTGTGTGCAGCACACCATTCCCGCCGCTTCCAACTAACGACAGCCTAACGTCAACGCACACACGATACACACACACACACACACACACACACACACACACACACACACATGCGATCGCACTACAATAATAATAATATGTGACCTCGTCATCGTCTCTCTTTCTCGCTCGCTCCACGCGATATTCTAAAAGCACACACACATACACACACACACGTCTGGACGATTCGATTGACGAGCGCGTGCATAACGTTATTGCCATTTTCGTGATATTTATTATCGCGTACCTCCATACGCACGTTAAATCGCGATCGTCTCTGTGTATCCGCCGAACGCGGGAGCTCGTTTTGTGCATTGACACAGCAAATTAAAGCCCCCCTCCCTAAGCAAAATACACTGGTTTCGCCCCTATAGTAGAAGTTATACTATCCGCGCCAAGACCTTTTGAGTTAATATTCATTAGTACATTTCAACCATGATTACTTGTCCGCCAAATAGTACACGACAATCGCGTGCACCACCACTCTTTCGCACAACTAAACCCCCAAAAACGTTTTAAGCACGGACGTAAACTTCCTCCTCTGTCGTCTCCGCTCGACGATAAGCCAATACGGATACAGGGGGTGTTGTTCGACATGAATAGTACACGCGAAATACCTGCGCACGATAACGTCGGGCGACGTAAATACGACTATACGAGTCCGTCTGAATCGGGACGTCTATGATATTATTATTGTTATTGCAGTTATTATGTGTTTTTTCTGTGCGAGTATCACTTTTTTTGATCTTATTCATTTTCTCCGACAACCCCAACGATATCAGTTTTTGCGTATTATTCGAGAAAAGCAAAAATCGCGATTAGCGACCGACGCAGAGTGTGTTATTACTTATTTATTGTTGGGTCGATAAATCGTTATGACACGATATTATACGTAATTGACTGAGAAAATAGAAACTATAATGTAATTATTATTATTAAGCAGAGTAGTGCGCGAACACTCAACGACACCGACAAGAGAGACAGAGATCACAACGGTCCTTGACGACAACGTACCTGCCGTCGTAGTATAGCTGGCTCGATAACACCACTCGGCCGGTACAGACACAGATTATGGATCGCGTTTGACACAACCGCTTTATGCGATAACTGATGAATGATGTCTAACGTCTGCGGACGGCCAGGCAATTTTAATGGTGCAATTGCGAATGAGGATGCTTATTAATGCTACCTTTTTCGGTTTTTTATATATTATCACGATTCCGCGTAAATTTCATATATTTTATGCTAAATTAAATAAATAAAACTCATTGAATAAAATAAATCTGAAGATACAAACTGACCAGAAAAATGCCATAAAATATAAAGTATGCACAAAAAGCCATTAATCGTGTATATAGTGCTCGTACACTGACACGCGTAATATCTACTAATAGCAGTTATAACTTATAATTAATAACCAATATTAATGGCGAACAAAGTCGAAAAAAGTATTCAATCACAAGAGACGGCAATAAAAATATGGTTCTATCCGAATTATACAATGCAAACAAAGCATAGTTTAATAATTATACAAAAATAATTTGAAGATTAATAACAATTTGTTGACATGTTTATTTTTGATTGTTTTATGACGTAAACTGGCTCTAACCTTTACTAAAAAAAACTTTTTTACAGCAATCGTAATGACGACGATTGTAACCGTGTATAATATTATGACTGATTATTGTTTAAAATAAACATCAATCAGTTGATAAACTTAAAAGATTTAAATCATCGTTAGATTTTTTCGAGTACCTAGACAAAATAACGTAGTAAAAACCATTTAATTCGTGTAGTTGGAAAACTGTATCGGTACCCAATTATAAATTTGACAACGTCGGAGCAATTTACAACACAACCGTGACGCGTATTTTAGGATTCCCGTGCGGTTCGACGGTAGGTACAAACGTAACGCTGTTCGCAAAACGAATTTCAATCGTACGCGATCGCACCTTATCCTTTACAACCAGTCGGCGAATATTGATGACGCGTTCGCGCGAGGATAACGTTATCTGGGCGGTAACGACTCAGTATTTCGAATTATTCGTCTGCGTAACAGGGTCGCATGCACAGGGGCGTACCTATTTATTGATTCGATTTAAATAGCGTTTCGTGTTCAATATCATAAACGTCGTTTAACCACTGCGATCGCGACGGTAATGCGGTCGATTATTATCAATATTATTAAAATCGTTAGCGTCTTACCTGCTTTCGTTTCCTGGAGGAAAAGTGTGCGGTGGCCGACTCGTCGATCTGCTCCTTGAACGTCTCGAACAGGTTGACCACTTGTGCGTAGTCCGGGTGCCCGTGCGACACCTTGACGTACGCTTTCCAGTTCTCGCGCTTGTAGCCCCAGTGGCACGAGTTGGTGCCCGTGAACCGGTGTATGTGGTTGACGAACCGCTGGGGCGCGAACAGCGCCTTACACTCGACGCACTGTATGCACGCCGAGAACTTTTCCGTGTACAGCTCGGGCATGCACACGCCCCGGGTCTTGCCGAACACGTCGTGGAACACCTCGAAAGAGAACGTGACCACGTCTTCGGGCACCGGGGCCGCGGGCGGCGGGACCCGGTGGAGCAGCGCGAAGCACAGCCGCTCGGCGTTCGTCTTGGTCATCAGACCGCACGAAGGCGCCGTCACCGGCAGTATCTGGCAGTGCTTGAGCATGTCCAACTGCTCGGGCGTGCACCGCGAACAGTAGATGCGCAACTCATCGCACACCTGGTTGATCTGGGTAAGCGTGAAGTCCCGGAGCACCGTGTTGAGGATCTGCGGCAGGCACAGCCGCATCTCGCCGCCCACCATGAAGCAAGCTATCTTCTCCCATTCCAGCTCCGTCTCGAACAGCTCGCATCCCGACTGGTCCGGCACGTACAGCACCGGGTGCAGGGGCGGCGGAGGCGGTGGCGCCGGCGCCGGCGTCTTCCGGCCGCCGCCAACGCCGCCGGACTCGGAGTCGCCACCTGTCGCGTTGGCCATTGGCGGTTTGGGCGAGCACACGGCCACCGCGGCACCGGACGGTTCGTCAAGCACCGAGTTCGGTCCCTGCAGGCTCCTGGGTGCGCTCATCTGGTACGTCTTCAGCACTTTGTTTATGTGCGGGTTGTTCACCTGCTGATCGCTTAGGTGGTCGTCTTCCATCTCGACCGTGCTGGTCGAGTCGTATGTCAGCAGTCGTCGTCGTCGTCGTCGTCGTCGCCGCCGTTTTCTCCGTCGTTTCCTCCGTGCCCAAACAGCCGACGGTTCGTGTTTTACGTACGGACGTCCGTTCTCCGAACAACTGTTGCTACTACTTCTACTGCTACACCTACTCCTACTACTACTACTGATGCTACCGATTTCGGTAATGCTCCGATCACTGGTCGACTCCGACAGCGGTACTCATATCGCCGCGTCGAATGTGAACACGTCATGGCCACAACGTGCGGACGATCGCGCGACTACAATCACCGGTGACCGCAGTACCTTTGTCGACGACGGCATGTGTCGCGGCGGGACCGCGTCAACGTCAACACCATCAACACACCGGTACGGGTCGTTAGAAAACCTGTGGAAATCGCGCATGCTACGGGAACACTCGCGGAAACGTATCAAATACCGGCTCGAGTGAAAAACTAAAAACGGATTTAATGCAAACCAAACGACAGGGGAAAAAAACCCGTAAAACACGAGTGCCTACGATTGAACACCGAATCTAAACGCGTACCATGGCGCGCTTTAAAAACATGCTCATGACGATTTATGTAGTAAATACCTTTGGTATGAGAAGAACGAGCGCGCACACGGAACAGAATACGCGCACACTCGGAACACGAGCGAAAAAAAAATTAACGATTTTATTTCAATATATTAAATTATAATGTTATATTATTAAACATTCGTTCAGTTCATAAATATATATTTATATACGTTTATACGTAATTATGGTTATGATTAAAACGAAAATACGCGTCGCGGACGAGATCGGCGCGCGTACCAGTGGCTGCTTCACATATTAATACTACTGCTCACGATACGGGCGATCCGCGCCGCCGCCGACGACGACGCCGCCGCTGCCCCCATATCTGAGTCTCGATGCCCGCTAACGTCGTTGTCGTTGGCACACCTATTTCGACCCATCGTCGTGCACACACACTGTTAACATGCAGGAGGTGGTACGTCTGTGCGCGCACCTGACCCTCCCACTACGGCCACATCGTTCGACACGTGCGCAACACCTGTGTGTCTTCCCACTCTGTTTTCCGATGCGTGCGTCGCCGCCGTCAGCGTCTGCGCGTGCCGTCCGACCCGCCGCCGCCGCCGCCGCCCTGATCGGGGCCAGCGCTGGCTGCCCGACTCGTCACGGCACCACCACCATCACGCCGCCGCCGCCGACGTGCCAACCCGCCGCCGTTGCGAAGCTACCTCCACCACTCACCACACCGCCGCCACCGTCGCCAAAACGTCACCGCCGCCGTCGCTACTACTACTACTACTACTACTACCACTTACGACGCTAGCCACAGCCGTCGCAGTCGCACGGTTGAATATTCGTGTGTACGGGCGTGTCGTCAACGGCGTGTTCGTTCACGG